AAATAAATAAATAAATAAATTTAAATAAAATAATTCTAAAAAAAAAAAATGGAACCCAGGCCTCCCAGGTGGCCTCAGCTTGCCAAGCAGCAGCATCAACCCGCATGTGCTACCATAACTGGCATCAAGGAATATTTCACAAGAGCCTGTATTTTCCAGGCACTGCTTCTCAGTCTCTGTGTGCATAATGCCCCTGCCTCCGCCCCACCTCCAGGATCCAGGGAACACTCATCAGGCTCTTCGAACTTGCTGCCCAAGTCTCTGCAAGCTCTCAGCATGGGAGTGCGATGCCGGACTGTCTTGCTACTGTGTTTGGAATCTCCTCCAGCTTGCCTTTAGAAGTCCAAAGCAACCTCATACGGTCTAAAACCTCCACTCAATAGCTCTTTCTTCTCTTTGAGAAATGGGTAATGCAGATAGATAGTGACTGCTCTCTTTCTGTCCTGTTAGTGAGCCCAGCCTAGCTGTGTCTAGTATCCCTGTTCAAAATGTGAAAACAGTTACTACCTTTTGTAAGCTTCAGGGCTTTAGCCAAAATTCTAAGACTCTGTGTGCGCGTGCGTGCGTGCCCAAGATCCCAAGAGGAGAATGGAGGAGAAGGAATTACGGCGTGGCCATCCCCCCTGGGGGGTGATTTCTCGCTTTCTGTCTCTTTGTCTCTCTCTGTCTTTCTGGCAAGTGCACGCGCCCTATAGCAAAAAAACTCACACACAAAAAAATTCCAAGACAACCATAAAGTCTCATTAAATATCAAGTTATAAATACATTTGGGTTTCTTTGGCAAATGGGTTAATCAATGTCTTTCATCTCAACAGCCTTTGACTAAGGCTGTATTTCCCTTTAAATACCAACATTATGTCATAAGCCCCTATTGGTTAATACATAATTTACAAGGTCCTTTCTGGAGGTGCCCCTAGCCTTCAGGATCCTGTTACAGGGTCAAAAACTAAACTACTACGCAAATGTGAAAAAATACTTTAAAAACAATATTGCTGTAGGGCACATGCACTTGTCATGGTGGTTGGGAGCTGGGTGGGTGAAAAAGTACTCCCAAGGGGATGGGCACACTGAAATCCCTTCACCATTCTCCTCTCAGGATTTTGAGCACACATGCACACACACCTGATGTGTTCTTCTAGTTGACAGGTCCAGGACTTGAACTATATAGTTATCAGCCATGTGAGATCCAGCTGCCTTAACCAACAGACCACTGACTGGCCTGAAAAATTAGTTTTTCAGAACTATTTGAAAATAGAACCCTTGAATGGTTGAGCATTTCCTTACAAAGGATAGTGAGAAAAAGAATGGTTAAACTGAAAGAGATGGGCAGGTTTAGCACCACCTCATGCCAGCCTAATTCCTCAGCTCAGTTGAAACACGGTTACATTAAGTCTTTCCTGAAGGCTAGAAGGATCTCTAGATGAGAACTTAAAACCATAGTAGTCATCGGAATCCATGTCAGTGATGGTTTCTTAAGTTGAGCTCCCTTTCTGTTTAAGTTTTTTCATCCTTGTTTTCAGTGCCTAGTGTTAATTTCATATTAAAAGCAGCTCTAATGTTAGCCCAAAAAAGTCCACGTTTGCTCTTCTCCTTGGGCCATTCCAAGTATGTCCTCTGTGTCATGAGAGCCCTCAGCTTGTGGTATTTGTTGGGAATGCTGTTCTGGGGAATGGGTTCCAGCAAGATCAGGATTAAGTTATCAGATCCTGCATGGAAGAGATTGTGGTGGGCAAAGTAGAGCTCATAATGGCACCACTCACTCTGGACAAAGTTGGGGGACAGAACAAAGATGGACTTGTAGCTCTTCTCAATGCAGTTGACGATATTCTCCACGATGCTCTTGCCGGGAACAAAGTTTCTCTCGTGGAGGCAAATCCGTACATCTTCTTTTTCTAGGTTTGGTACCAATTCGTTCTTCACCCAGGCAGAATCATGCCCACTGTATGAAATAAAAGCATGGAACTGGAGAGTTCTTTGGAGTTCCTCTAAGGGCAAGTTCCTGGCCCTGCGCCGGGTCTGGGTCCACTGAAACATCATCCTGAGATACCAGGGCAAGTCCAAGTAGATGCAGAGGAGGGTCATGGTCACAGCCAGCAGCAGCATGGTGGCCCCAACAGTGACAATCAGCAGAACTGTGTTGCAGGATAACTGAGACGGATGGAAGTCCTTCAGTGGAGTGCCCTTATAGCTTTCTGGGTAGTCACACTTGTAAGAATCAGGCCAGTCCTCCACCACCCCTCTTGGTACTTGGCCTATGTTTTTGATAAATTCCCTTAGCTCGCATGTACACTGGAATGGGTTGTTCCCTGCCTTTAGTGATCTAATCTTCTGGCAGCTCTGGAAGAAATCAGCTGATGGGTGGGAAACCACGTTATGGTCAAGGGTGAGGACAGAAAGGCTGCTGAAGGTACTGCATCCAGGAAGGTCAGCTAAAGAATTGAAAGCAACGTTGAGTTCTTGCAAAGACTCCAGTTGCATGACTCCCTTAGGAATGCTCTGTATTCTGTTCTTGTGAAGATCGAGTACCTTGACCCTGGGAGGTAAGCAACTGAAAACAGAATCTGTAAGCATATTTGAAGACAAATCTAACATCACGATACTCTCCACCCAGAGGCAATTTCCCTCGAGTCCATCAGATTCCAAAGAATTCCAGCTAACGTCTAGTATTTCCAAAGATGGCATATCCTTAGTCATGAGACCTACTTTGTAAAGGTCTTTCAATCCATTCTTTTGAAGGATAAGTGTCTCTAATCTAACTAATGTGGAACACTTTTGAAAAATGCTGTCTGTGAAAACATTTCTGGTGAAGTTCAAAAACTTGAACGTGCTTGGCGCCTGAGGACAAAGCATGTGTATGAAAGGAGTATCCGATATGGTTAACATGACAATGTTCATCTCAGAAAACACTCGGTATAATACTGTCTGTGAAAAGATAAACACTCGGTTTTTAACGTGTTCTATTGTCAATGCTTTCAATGTCGTTTTAGAATAAGTAAAATTTTCTTTTTGGATGTCTTCAATTATTGTTAAATTGTAAATATTGAGATATTCCACGGGTTTGGGCCAAAGGAACTGAAAAATGCTAACCAAGCATTTCCAAGTGGTTTCTATGTGATAGAGGGTAACATTCAGTAAGGTTGGACCTCTAGTGAGTTCTGACAAAAATTCAATGAAAACATCACAGTTTTTATCATTCAGTTTGATATTAGTCAGCTGTAAGCACCCTAAAGTATTAACTGATATATTCACCTGGACGAAGAATAAAGTATTGGGGTGAAAAACAAGGTGAAGTGTTTTTGTATTCAGAATTTGAAGACTTTCTCTTCCATTCTCTTTCACATAATAACCTCCTAACTCCAGAAGGATGTAACTTAGATGTAAGTGTGCAATTGGAAGCAGATCTAATTGTTGTAACTTTCTAGCACTTAATCCCAAGAAACTGAGTTGGGTCAAGTTGCCGAATTCCTCACAGATGGGCAGAGCATCAAAGTCATTGAATGAGAGGTCTAAGTGCTTGCAGCTCATAAGAGCATAGCAGGATATCCTTCTCAACTGATTATGAGACAAGTCCAAATATTCCAAATCATGGTTGAACTTGAAAACGCTAAGGTCAAGTTGCTGGATTCTATTATAGGAAACTCTTAAAACTTTCAGCCTTGACAGAAAGCTGAGGTCAGAGGCTTGAAGCTCAGTTATGTCATTTTGAGACACATCTAAGTCTTCGATAACTGGCGACAGGTCTTTTGGAATGCGAGTAAGGCCTATATTTGACCTGCATACTGAAAGCCCACTTTCATTACAGAACTGGTTTGTTGCTGCAGCTATCATGGTCACGATACACATGAAGCAAACGATTCTGACAGCAAGTTCTTTGTTCTTGGTCATGATGTTGCTGTGTTTCTCTTGAAATGTTGTCCTTCACCTCATCTTGCGAGTCCAAGTCCTAGAAATATAGTGTAGACTGAGATCAATAAAGATTGGATGATTTCTCTCAAACCTCCATTTAGCCAATATTAAAAACCAGCATGATTTCTTCATTCGCTATTAGAGTCATTTTTGTCCCCATAATTTAATGTGATACCCCCTCCCCCCAGTTATGTAGCTTACTGGTGTCATAAGGAATAATGCAGATAGGTTATCAAAGAATTGTGGTTGTTGGGGTCAGACAACGGCACAGTGTTATCATAACTGGACCCACATGGGCCCCAGGTTCACGTCCCAGAACTTCCTTGTACACCCGGGCATATACATGTGTGCCTGCATTCTGGGCTGCCTGACACTGGGGATGGATTATACCACAGGGACTGTAGTTATGGTCTCTCTCTCTCTTTTTCCCAGAAGTGAATGGATGATTTAAAAAAAAAAAAAAAGGAATTGTATGTTTGTATGTTTTGACCTGCCTGGGGCTCCCTGAGCGATCCATTCAGGGGCAAATATACTAGATGCAGCCACCTGGGGCAAGGGATACAGATCGGGCAAGCAGTGGATGCTTCAAGAAGCTAGAGAAGGAAGAAGATGGTAATGGAGACACATGGGAAAATAGGCTTTGGAAAGTTTCGTCTGAACTATAGAATCTAAGAAGGCACACACATACCCAGAGCTGGACACATGCTCAGAAAAGACCTGAGAAAATACTAGATTTACACCTCTGGCTGACTTTTTGGCACCACAGAAGCAGAAAATGAAGGTGAAGGTGGATTTGTGAATGGCCTGGGTAAACATTCAAGAAGTACTTTGCCATAGAGTGCCAACCTATGCAAACTTGAAGGTTTGTTTTTTGGTTTTAGTGTTTGTTTTGCCTTTGTTTTTGCTCCAGGTATTTAAGGAAATGTCAAGTCACTGCTGACAACTAACCTAATAGAACAGAGATCTCAATGGTCACACATGACTAGAACACAATCTCTACAAAAATAGTGTAGAAAAATCATTATACAAATGACTATATCCTATAACAAGCAGCAACAACAAACCCTCATGGGGACGGGGGAAAAGAAGAGGAGAATCTGATTTAAAAGTTACCTTATCATTATTCCCAAAAAGTTGGCTTAAAAAAAATTAGCCATGCAAAGAAACAAGAAAATATTGCCCATTCTTTGGGGGAGGTGGAGAAAAAGAAAAAAATTTTTTTAAAAAGTCAGAGAATTGATACTACCCAACACCAAGATTTACTATAAAACTACACAAGGAGATCAATGAACCAGAATAGAACTCAGAAATAGACCCACATATATGTAATCAACTGAATTTTGGTAAGGAATAAAAGCAACTCAATGGAGAATGTGTAGTCTCTTCAACAAACAGTATTGAAAAAATAGACACCCATCTGCAAAAACAAAAAGAAAAACATAAATAAAGAAAAGAAAAACCTAGATACAGACCTTTCACTTTCCACAAAAATTAGCCAAAAAGGACCACAGACCTAATTGTAAAATCTAAAGCCATAAAAATACTAGAATCTAGGCAACTTTGGATTTGTCAATGACTTCTTAGATATCATATCAAAAACACAATCTTTGGGGGAAAAAACCTATTAAGTTGGACATTATCAAAATTATAATTTTCTTCTTTGTGAAAGATGCTGCTAAGAGAGTGGAAAGGTCAGCTAATAATTGTAAATCATTGCAAAACACTTACCTGATAAGGACTTGTACCCAAAATACATGAAGAACTCTTAAACTTTGCAATAATTTAAAAATGGGCAAAATATCTGAACACCTTACCAAGATGATATACAAATAGCAAAAACACATATGAAAAGCTTATCAGTATCACGTGTCATCTGGGAATAGATCATTAAAACCATAATGAGATACCACTACACACCTATAAAAATGACTAAAACTCCAAAAAATAACATCAGATGTTGGTGAGAATGTGGAGCAACAGGAACTCTCTTTCTCTGTGAGCAGAAATATTAAAATAAACAGTCACTTTTGAAGATAGTCTAACAGTTTCTTACAAAGCTAAGCAAAATCTTATTATATGATCTAGCAATCACACTCTGAGGAATTTACCCAAATAAACTGAAAATGTATACTCACACAAAAACCTGCACATTGATGTTTATAGAAGTTTTATTCATAACTACCAAAAACTGGAGGCAACGAGATGTCCTCCAATGAGTGACAAGCTAAAAACACTGGTACATTCATGTGATGAAATATTATTCAACAGTAAAAAGAAATGAACTCTCAAGCCATAAAAAGACATAAAGAAATTTACATGAAAGAAGTGAAAGAAGCCAGCTTGAAAAGGCTAAATACTATATGATTCCAACCAAATGATATTCTGGAAAAGGCAAAACTAAAGAGACAGTAAAAAGATTAGTGGTTGCTAGGGACTTCAATGGAGGAAGGCAGGGATGAATAGGCAGAGCGCAGGTGTGGGGTGGTGGTGCTCGGGCAGAGAAACTATTCCATATGGTGCTGAATGGTTTCTACATTTGTCAAAACCTACAGAACTGTAGGTTCTATAGAACACAAATGCTGAACCCTAATGAAAAGCATGAACTCTGGGGCCAGCCAATGGTGCAATGGTTATGTTGCTGGACTCTCACATAGGCAACCATGGTTCAAGTCCCAGACCCGGTAGCTTAAAACTCACACTGGACGTGTGCGCATGTGTACGTGCCCAAAATCCCAGGAGGAGAATGGAGGAGAAGGGATTTCAGTGTGACCATCCCCACACCCGGGGAGTGATTCACTTCCTGTTTCCCTGTATCTCTCTGTCTCTCCAGTGAGTGCAAGTGCCTTATAACAAAAATCTCTCTTAAAAGAAAAAGAGCATCCAAAAAAAAAAAAAAGAAAGAAAGAAAAAAGAGACCAGCAGTTAGCATAATGGCTATGTCGCTGGACTCCCATGTAGTTGAACCGTACCCGACGGCTTGAACTCACGCCAGGCGCATGTGCATGCGTGCCCAAGATCCTGAGAGGAGAATGGGGGAGAAGGGATTGTGGCGTGGCCATCCCCCCTAGGGGGGTTGATTTCTCGCTTTCTATCTCTCTCTGTCTGTCTCTTGCTTGTGGGCGAGCCCACGCACCCTATAGCAAAAACCTCTCCAAAAAAAAAAAAAAAAGAAAAGAAAAAGAGCATGAACTCCAGTTAATGATAACCTATCAATACTGACTCATCATTGGTAACAAATGCACCAAACTAAGCAAGATGTTACAGTAAGGATAACTGTGTGCAGTGGAGGTAGGTATATAGGAATTTCTTGGCTTACTTTTTCTATAAGCCTAAAATTGCTCAAAAAAATAAAGTTCATTAGCTTTAAGAATAAATGAATTAATAGAAATGGTCCTAGAAGAAGTACAAACATTGGATTTACTGGGTAAAGACTTTAAATCAACTGTCTTTAAATTTATTTATTTCTTCCATGAGAGATAAAAATAGAGATAAAAACTCGTTGTCTATATACATTGTATGCCATTAGTTCAAAGTACCACAGAGTTATATAATGGGGATAGGAGAAGCTTCAACGTCATACTGGTTATCAAATGAAAACAAATACCTCACAATGAAGCTATAACAGGTAAGAACACTTACACAGTAAATAACACGGCATCAAAATTTACAATGTAAAAAATGTTCCAGAAAAACAAGGAGGCATTGATAGAGCAAGTATTTATTATATTTCTCTGGGTCCTTGTTAGATCAAGTAGCCAAAAATAAACACATATCAAGGAACTGAATGAAATGATTAATAAAGGATTTAATAGACACTTTGTGCCCTAAGAGAATATTGTATACCCAAGTTCCCAGGGTTAACAGAGCATTTGCTAAAATTGATTGTTTATTAGATCAAATACACCTTAAAATAAATATCTCCAAAGAAAAATGATAAAATTTGTATTTTGAAAAACCTAAGAAACTTAAAAAAAAAATTGCTACAGGGTGTGCATATTTGTCAGAGAGAGACAGAGAGAAAGGGGGTGGAGTGAGAAAACACCCTCCAGTGAGGATGGCCACACTTCTATCCCTTCTTCATTCTCCTCTTGTGATTTTGGGCACATACTTACACATGCCTGGCATTTCAATCCCTTCTCCACTCTCCTCTCAGGATTTTGGGCATGCACGCACAGCAACTGATGTGTTTTTTCAAACCACCGGCTCTGGGACTCGAACCGTGCAGTTGCACACATGGACTATAGCCACCTAAATCTCTACACCACCTGCTGACCCAAAGGAATTGATTTTTTTATACTTTCAAATATTTCTAACATTTCTCATTTTGAACATCTTTATAATCTGCAAAATTATCTTCCGACAATACTGATGTTGTCTTTATAACTCATGTAAAAAATTTTATGGCTAAAGAAACATGCCTTATTTGAAATAATAATAATATGTAAATAGAGAGAACCTCTTCCACTTAATGATAAACAGTTGACAATCACAGCTCCCTCCCCCTGCCCACGGTGTCTGTGTTCAGGGGACTGAAGTTCAGCCACTGGGAAGCCACTTAGCTGTCCTTAGGCAAACACAAATACTCCTCCAGGGTGGCCATTCCCCTGACCTCTTCCTAGTGTACACACCACAAACAATCCAGGCACTTTTATAGTTAAGGGGGGGGAATGAAGAGGAAGAGACCGAAGATTAGAGAATTGTCAGTTTTTAAGAAAGTAAAAGAAACTGTATGGGACCAGCAGTAGTAATGACTATGTTGCTGAACTACCATGTAGTCTACTGTGGTTCGAGTCCTGGACCTGGTGGCTTAAACTCACACTGGGCATGTGTGCATACGTGCCCAAGATCCCAAGAGGAGAATGGAAGAGAAGGGATTGCGGTGTGGCCATTGTCCCAGGGGGTGATTTCTCACTTTCTATTTCTCTGTCTCTCTCTTTCTGGCGAGTGCACGTGCACTATAGCAAAAACCTCTCCAAAAAGAAAAAAGAAAGAAAAAGAAACTGTAATGCATCAGATGAAAAAGGAGAGAAAGAAAGATGAAATACGCTCCCCTGGGCCAGCAGGTGACAGGGAGGGTAAGGTGGCTGGATCCCACAAGCTTGAGTCCCTAATCCAGCAGCTTGAAAATCACACCAGGAGCACGTGCGTGCCTGTCCCAAATCCCAAGAAGCAAGTGGAAGAAAAGGGATCGCGGCATGGCCATCCCTCCCGGAAAGGGAGATTTCTCACTTTCTCTGTCTCCAGCAAGCACATGCACCCTGTAACAAACTTTTAAAATGATCAGCAATGTTACTCGTTAGGATTATTAATAGATCATCAATATTATAATAATTGATCATTGCTGTTAACAATGAGTAATGCTTATTAACGTTACTACTAATAAGTAAACTTTAAAAGAAAATTAAAAAGACATAAGCTCTACAGATTGAAAAACAACAGTAGATGGGACCTATAACAATGAAAATAATAACGAAAGGAGAGACCGGGGAAAAATCCATTAAGTGCAGTAAATTTAGGAAAGATTCCATAATGAAATCAACAAATAGGCAAGAGAATCATTTTCTTGTTAACCTTAAGGTGAGAGACCCGGAGGAAGGCCAGTGCTGGGCATGGCGTGGATTCCAAGTGACAATCAGCCAGGTCCTGCTGTTTCCTCTGTTTAATACACGTTTACCCAGAGCTTCTGCTGTGTCGGTGCCATGATGGGCTGGGATGTGAATACCAAGGGAGAATTCTTGCTTTTAGCCCGATTATGACTCTGTGACAGATACAGAATGCTACACCATTACAGCGGCATGCCACAGAGCTCAAACACACGGCTGCTGGGAAAACACGTGACATGGGATGGGGGGGGCAGAGCAACGTGTAAACTACTGTCCCTGTTACAGAGAACAGGGAACTAGCATAAGGGGAAAGAGAAAACAGCAGCCCAAAGCAGAAGAAACAATTAATGAGTTGGCTTTTTCCCTTTAACTGTCACTACAAATGCTAGTCGTTTTAGATCCTTTCAAGACAGCCACACACACATGCTACTTTTTATCGTTCTTGTGAAAGTCAAAGGACAGGAGCAACTGGTAAAACGAAAAAAAAAAAAACCCAAACACTAAAAACTATTATATTGCAGAAATTCTAAAGAAACTTACCGATTTCCTTATAGCGTTAGCATTTTCCTGTTTATTTGAAGCACTCGCGCCATAATTTGGAAAAAGCCACAAAGCTTTCCTATTTACCGAGATTTCTTATCCGGAAGAAGAGAAAATAATTTCTTCACGCCAGGAAAGTAAGTGCTTGACAAATCAGAGTCCTTAGTTTAAATTTAGGTTAAAGCAATGCCCTAGAAGCAGTTTGGTGCCATCTGTTGGCTGTTACTGGAATTAAGTCTACCTATAAATTTCCTTTCAAAAGAGTCAATGATCCAAAGCACATTTGCCTACTAGCTTTTTCTACACAGCAGACTAAACCAACAATCAAATTTTAAAATTCATATAAGCAATCAGCTTATGAAAATTTCAGTGGGGAACAATACTTTTCTGTAGTAATATTTTTCTGTAACATTTTGTGACCTGAATGTTAAACTGTCACCAAAGAGTAGGTTTATTGAACTTGGCCTGTTTTCTATGATCACTGTATTTCGCGTTTCTAAAATAAGTGTAACTACTGTTATCAAGCAGTTTTTGAGGACTATTTTAGCTGAATGAGATCATTTAGAATAAAGTAAACTGGAGCCAGCAGGTGGCATAGTGATTAAGGTGCTAGACTCTTACTCGGCTGACTGCACTTTGAGTCCCAGATCCAGCAGTTTAAAACTCCTACTGGGTGCATGTGCGTGCATGCCCAAAATTCCAAGAGGAGAATGGATTGTAGTGTGACCATTCCACATCCCCTGGGGGGGGGGGTGATTTCTCACTTTCTCTCTTTCTGTCTCTCGGCCAAGCACATGCAACATATAACAAAAATCTCTAAAGATAAATAAATAAATAAACTCAGCTCCATAACTTAATTTTTTAAAAGCAACTTTAAAATATTTGTTTATTTAATTTTTAGTTTTTGCTATAGAGTACGTGTGTGAGAAACAGAGCGAGAGAAAGGGAAAAGGGAATACCCCCTCCACCCCGTGGGAATGGCCACACTACAATGCCCCTATTGAATTTTGGGCACACACACACACATGCCTGGAGTGTTTGGGACTTAAACCTACAGTCAGTCATGTGGGATCCAGCACCTTAACCTCCATGCCACCTGCTGGCCCCCAAAATCAGCTGTCAAGCAAGTTTATTGGTTGACAAGTATTTAGCCATACCTAAGAGGAACATCCTGTGTGTGTGCATGTGTGTGCATGTGATCCCACATTCTGATTGAAATGTTTATGAAATGTTTAATTTTAAATTCTGGAGAAATTAATAACACTGAGATCCTACAGGACTAATTTAAAAATCAATTTTCTGAAGACCATTTAAAGTAATTTCAGAATGCTATCCACAGGGCTCAATACGCAATGATGTCTGGTTAATCAGCTCCTTCAGGTAGCCAGGACGCTCTAATCCCCAAACTTCTCACATAAGTGAGGTTCTGTGAAAAGCCGAATATGAGCTGAATAATCATTCTGTAAGGACTCCCACCATCTGGCACTATCTCATCTTTACAAAAACAACTGAAGAACCTGCAATCTAGCCAATGGCAAGGTTGGCGATCTGGGTAAGAATCACTTCTGCTTTCAGAAGGAGAGGAAAGGCCAGCTTCTTACTATTCATCCTTACTCACCAAACATACAGGAAGTCTTCTCAGGGCTGGGGAGACTCAGCCGGAAGTGGATGGGTGCAAAAGGAGACTGTTGGAAAGCTGCAGGTAGCTGCCACACTGGGAAACCAGATTTGTGGAACGGGCAGAGGAAGGGGCCAGCTGTGGCCATGGGAGACACTTAAGCAACACTAGGCTAATGTCTTGAGAATGCACAGACACACATGCACACACCACACACATGCACACAATGCACCCACACACATGCACGCACACACACACCACGCACACACATATGTGTGTGAATTTGCTCACGTCGCACGTGTCATCAAAACAGTGCATAATAATGCTGGTCTTCGGGAACACGGAGGCTATTCTTGTTGAGGTTATCATGACTTTGAGAACTGTCTCTAAGGAGTTGACAACAACAAGGTCAGATGGAAGACTGCATGGCAGGAGAGCAGACAAGAAACAGACTGGTGTCTGAGCTGAAGTCTTCACTTGGCCATGGACCGTGTGGCATTGAGTAACTTGCTTAACCTCGCTGAGACTGCATTTATTCCACAAAATGGGAGTGCTTGTGATCTCCTAGGGAAGAAAACAAGTTTGCATTGGATGGACTAGTGACCAGCCAGCAGAGAAGCCATACAGGTGTGGAGTTTAGAACTCTCTGCAGGTTACATGTTTCCATGTGCTGAAGTGGAAAGATTTCAGGATATACTATTGCATGAAGAAAAGCGAGGTGCAGAACAGAGAGGAAAGCGGGGCATTGTCTGCATAAAGGCTGGTAGCTACACATTTCCGTAGTTACCTTCCTGCTAGGCATGGTTCTGAGTTCGACCCAGCATAACTCACGGAACCCACGTGCAGGTGCTACAAGATAGTACCACCATATTTCCATTTAACATGGGAGAGAAGCAGTTAGATAATGGCCCACGGTTGCCCTGTGGTCAGTGGTGGCTTTGGGGCCTGAGCCCAGGCCGTATGGCCCCAGTGTCTCTATGTTCAAGCCTGGCACCATGCTGCCTTTACAAAACACACACAAGGGAGACACACAGAGAAAAACAGACCATTTGAAAATGAGGCAGGGCCAGAGCAATAGCCCAGTGGTTAAAGGAGTCAGATCCTGCATGGCCAACCGTGGCCCAAATCCTGGCCTAGCAGTTAGAAAAAAACATGCCGGGCATGTGTGCAAATCCAGATGAGTGGAGAAGTGGAGGAAAAGGAATTGTGGTGTGACCATGTGCCACTGGGGGGCACTTTCCGGGTCTCCATCCCCTGACACCACCCCATGTGTGACCATGTGCCACTGGGGGGCACTTTCCTCGTCTCCATCCCCTGGCACCACCCCACCTCTCTCTGGTGAGTGCATGCACTCTCTGTCAATTACAAAGAAAAGAAAAATAGGCAGAGATTGGAGTTCTGCAGCCACAGGCCGAGGAAGCTGGAGCGAGCACTCTCCTGCCAATGCCTGGGTTTTGAACTTCCAACCTTCAGAACAGTGAGAGAATAAATGTCTGTTGCTTAAAGCCACATTATTTATGGTCATTCATTTTTACGGCCACAAGAAACTAATATAAGGATTTACATACATAAGCTGATCATGCACATATATGTATAAAATTTTTTTTTCTCAAAGGATATTAAAGAAGCTGTTGCCTTTCAGCAGAATGACTGAGAGGACTATTTTTATTCACCATTTCATGCCCTTTTGTCCTGTTTGATTTTTTTTACTATGTACATGTACTACTTTAATTTTTTTTCAAATGCATCACAGTGGAATAAATAAAATAACATGATCTAAAGTCAGCAAATACATTGCCGCAATACAGACAGAAAAAAATAGTTTTGATTATTTTTATTTTTTAAAAACTGCCTTTATCTTTCTCCAGATAGTTAATAAATAGTACTATCTATCGACAATTTTGATAGGAGTTGTGTGAAAATTACAGTATCGTAAAATACATAAACCACAAGGAAGAAGATTGGTAGTACTGGTATTAAAACTAAAATTTTACAGGGGACCAGCAGTTAGCGTAATGGCTATGTCGCTGGACTCCCATGTAGTCAACCGCGATTCACGTCCCGGACTCGGTGGCTTAAACTCATGCCAGGTGCGTGTGTATGCGTGCCCAAGATCCCGAGAGGAGAACAGAGGAGAAGGGATTGTGGCATGGCCATTGCCCCTGGGGGGTGATTTCTCACTTTCTGTCTCTCTGTCTCTCTCTGTCTGTCTGGCGAGTGCACGCGTCCTATAGCAAAAAATCCTCTCAAAAAAAAAAAAAACTAAAATTTTCCACTGAAGTAAAGAAAGTAATAAAAAGATAAGTCATATAGACTCAGAGTACTACCCAGCATTAGCTCACTGAACACGCATAGAGATGCTATGAGATGACTAGTGGTTAAGGCAGCTGGATCCTACTTGGTGGACCACACAGTTTGAGTCCTGGATCTGACAGCTTAAAAAACATGCTGTGCACATGTGAATGCATGCCCAAAATCTCCAAAGGAGGAAGAAATGAAAAATAAGTACCATAGTGGGGGTACATTCTCACTTTTCTTCTCTGTCTCTCTCCAGTGAACACACAGGAGTGTGTGGGCCCTGTAGCAATTAAAAAAAAAAAAAGATATACTCAGGCACAGACTAGGAGAAGATATTGACATGCATGACAGCAAAAGCAATGATATCCAAAGTGCATGAAGATTTCCTAGAAATCAACATGAAAATGACTAACAAACCCAACGGAAGGAAATGACCAAAGGATATAAATGGATCACAAAAGAAACAAAAAAAAAACTCAAGCGTCTGAAAAGGAATGCATCCTCACAGAATACGGGAATTAAGACAGGAGATGCAGCACTGTATACCCTTGAGTCAGACAAAAATTAAAACACCAAATGGTACCCAATGTTGATCAGAATGTAAGGAAACAGGATCTCTGAAACTTGTCCCAAGACTCTGATTTAAACGGTCTGGGACCAGCCAGGCATAAGCATTATTTTAAAAGCTCTTGAGAAGATAATAGTTTCCTTTCCATCAGGGAAGAGACCTACACTCTATCCTGAGCACAGTGGCCTTTAGCAGTCTATTTTCTCCACTGTACCCCTCATACCTCAGGACTTGGAGTGGTGTCCACGCTCTTGACTCTCAGGCTACTTCCAGATGACTGCCCCTCCCTCCAGCCCTGGAAACCTACTCCTTCTGTTTCAGGCATCCACTGAGCCCCTTCACTTCATTAAGCCTCTCTAGCTATTGAAACCATCGGAATTATGAAAGGAGTGGTCTTGGTTTTAGACAGTGAGTATGCTAAAATATTCTCTTCTAGTGCTATTGTCCTAAACTGACTTCAGCCATGCCTTCCCTTATTCTACCCCAGATATTGTTATTACTGAAGGATAGCTGTACCTTCTCCATAATCTCGATTGCCAGCATCCCACCTTCCAGCTCCCACCTCCAACTCTTCCCTCTGATGCCAACAATTTCCTAATGACACTGCTCTGGACTGAAAGATCATGATCCATCCTTTTCATTATTCCTTTCCATTCTCCCTCAGCTACCTCACTCCTCTCTCCTCAATCCAAATTAAATTCAGTCCTCTAATGAATGATGCGATGCCTGAGAGCTGAGGATGGTTAGAGAAAATCCACACCCTTGCTGATTGTCTCACTTGAAATTCATGAGTAGGCCACAACCTCAAGAGGGAGCAGCAATCCTACCATCAGTCCTACTGCCCTTCCCCGGCCCTTTCACTCTCCTACTCTCCTGTTTCACACTGCTTCCTCCTCTACACTCCCAATATCTCCTTTCCTTTTTCATTCTCGGCTGAAAATGCTTCATTTTTCACAAAGAAAAACAGATGATAGCAAAAGAGCATCTCCACTATTTCCTATAAAGACCTACCAGCCCACCTGGACCTGTTAGACCTCCATGTCCTCCTGTCCTTAATGCTCTATGTCAAGAGCCAGTGCCTGCTGGGTTCCCCTTCCATTTGTCTATTCAAGAAGATCACTTTTGGAGTTTTCCTTCTCTACTGCATCAACATGTTCCTACTGCAATGGAACATTCCAATCAGCACGTGATACTACAATTTCTTCCATCTTAAAAAAATCTATCCTGTGCTTGCACATTTATGTTTATTGCAGCATGATTCACAATTACTAAGACACAGCACCAACCCAGATGTCCATGAACAGATGACTGGATTGGAAAAGTGTGACACATATATTCTATGGAATACTACTCAGTCATAAAAACAAGAAGACCCTGGCATTTGATAGAAAGTGGACGAATATGGAAGATTTACTGCTGAGTGAAGCAAGCCAGGCTATGAAAGAGAGAGACTGTATGTCTCCACTCAACATATACCAACTCTCTGTACTCTATAGTGGAAACTGAGAGATTAGAGGACATAGAAGCATTAAAAATGGTTATAGATTCAGGAGACAATGTGGGAAGAGAATGGGTGAAAGGAGAAGTGTGGGAGAGGAAAGACATTTATGGGACATGTAAATGGGTTATTATCTGTCGATGATAATATGTTTTGTATCCTTACCTGGACTGGAGATGTGTATTGATGTTGGGTATATTCAGCTTACAAGCAAAGTGATGTATAGTAATTAAATGTATACAATTTAAAATAAATAAAAATAATAAATAATTTTTAAAAAAAAAACCCTCTCCATCTGAATCCAATTCTTCTCCTGGCTCCTCTATATACCAGAACTCCTTGAAACGTTTGTTTAATTCACTGTCTCTAATTATTCTCCTATTCTCCCAAATCTACTCCAATCAGGTTTCCTTTCCTACCATTCACAGAATCAGCTCTTGCTAAAGTTATCAATGACTACCACATTATTAAATCCAATGTTCAAGCCTCCATTTTTATCTTATTTGAACTATCAGCAGCATTTGACACAGCTGAAAGATCTTGGAAAGTTTTCTTCCATGACTTCTGGGGACTTCCATGACTTCTACTCCCCTTTCTCCCTCTCTCTACCCCAATTTCCTGCTAACTCATTGGCCTTCCTTCTCAGTCTCCTTCTGCTTTGTTTTGTTTTGTTTTCTTCACAGGCGGCATGAGCTCTGGAGAGAGACAGGGAAAAG